TATTTTTCCCCCTCAGCGGCTGCACGGCGGTGGGCCGGCGGGTATGGGAGGGGTGTGTGGGGGGGGTGTCTCTGGACCCGACCCGCAGATTCGCCGCGCTGGGGCCTGGCGTGGTTTTGGAGGGAAAACGCGGGGAAGCGCCGCGCCGCCTCGTCAGCGGCCCCGGCGGCCGTTCGAGGGTCCCGCAACGCGTTTCCCCCGCACCTCCCCCCCGGCAGCGCTGCTTCCCTACCGGCGTCCCCGCCGCAGAGGGCCCACGGGCCCCTTGGCAGCCCGCCGGCCTCCCCTCAGGACCTCGCCCCCCTCCCCCCTCACGCCACGGCCGCGGAGCCTTCCTCCCCTCAGGACCCCCCGCCGCCGCCGTCCCGGCCCCAGCTGGCTGCTCCCGTTTTTCTCCAGAGCGGGGGGGTCCGGGTCGGCGTTGACCCCACGGGGCCGGTGGTGGTGGAGAGGGGGGGTGGGCTTGACAGGAGCAAGGAGCCGGGTCTGGCGGCGGGCCCGGCCGGTGCCCTGGGGGTACGCCGGGCTTATCGCGGCTTAGGAAAGGAGGTTAGGGCCCGGGAGGGTGATCCCGGCGCCGTTCCTCCCGCCGCGGGTCCTTTGTCATGGAAGTGTGGCGCCATTCGGGGCCAGACTTCAGAGGGGTCTGCTGAGGGAAGGGGGGGGGTTGTGTGTGTGGAATACACAAAGGGGTGAAGCGTCGGGACGGGCCAGCGCGGTGTCTGTGGCACCCAGAGCCGCCTGCAGCCAGTGCCGGACAGACGGACACCGTGGAATCCCGCCGCATTTCCCGCCTGACTCCTCCGTTCTCCCGCACCTTTGACTCCGGGGCAAGCACCTGAAGCGAGCCTCCATAGCAGGCAAGGTTACCTTGTGCGATGGGTTTTATAATAAACCTATGTACTTCCCTATTTTTACAGCACGTCACCTGTTTTTTTTTGGTGGTGTTGCACCGATCAGCCCTAGATCCGGCGCGAAACAATTTTTCTTGGGAAGAAACGCAGCAAATTAATTGCAGCAGGTGTAGATTTTATTACCAGTACTGATTTCATTACCACCGCCACCTCTCCCTGTACTCAACAGCAGATATGAAGAACACGCACAACTCCTGCAAAGTCCAGGGAAGGTTTTGGGTGCTTTAAATTCCCCAGAAACCCGAAATTGCGCATTTTGTTTAGAAAAGGAGCTGCTTCTGCCACGGAAAAATAAAACGAATTCTGCAGTCTGTTAAAATGGCAGCTTCTGCAATAGCAAGTCACTTTTGCTTTGCACTTGAATCTTTAGGGAGACTCATTCCTCCATTTTTATTAAAAACAGTACTCCAAAACATTTTTTTATAGGTCAGGTTACCCAAGAAGACTGGTTTGACAATAAAATATGGTCAGCTTTTTACCTAATTATAGGAGTAATCTGAGTTCATTTAATGCCCTGCTTGAGCTTAATTTGTCTCCTTTGGAATTGCTGCCATTTTTCTGATCAATTCACATGTGCCCTGTCCTTCATGCAAGTCAATACTCATGAAAATCAAGCTGATCAGGAAAGAAAGACGGGCATTCAGAGCAACTGCCTGCCTGCATAGCCAGCCCCAAAATACACTGTGTAAATTAATGAGCCATAAGGAGGAAGGTGTATTAACAACAAACCACATCAAGGAATTCTTTTCTTTCTCCCCTTAGCTGGATATATTGGATTAAAAGCCACTAGGACTGATTCACAGATGCAAAAGTTTTGCATGCTTACGTCCCGCCTGTAGGTCAGTAAGACTACAATAATTGAGACCGAAAGATGTTTCAGTGAAAAGGATCTAATTTGTTTTGCTGGCAACACAGGGCAGTTCACACTGTATGCTTTATACGTCCCCTTGTTATTGACAGCCAGACTGTTTCTAGTTTGAACTTGTGAACCCATTTGTAAGGACTGTTGAGACAGGAAAACAACAACAACAACAACAACTACCGCACAGGCAATGTCAAACTTTTATTTCAAACTTTTGCAATACTGCATTAGTTACTGATTGATATGGAGAAAACCACCCAGCAGTTTCTTCTCTTTATATAAACATAATAATACTGCAGCTTTACAGTAATCAGAACCCTGTCTCTAAAATACTTCTGTGTAACTGCAAGCGGTTTAAAGAAAAAAAAAAAAGCTAAGTTTTGATATTGTTGACTTACTTCTGAACTATAATCTGCCCTCATGCTTTCAAATTCTATTGCAGTGAAAATTTCCAGCTATGTGGACCCATAGTGTGCTGTCATCAACATATAAAATACACCATTAAACGTCATGTGGTTTTGAGTCCCATGACCACAAATTAAAAGTTATAGGAATGAGAAACAACATGTGGAAGAGAAGGAAATGGGTACAGTTGGCCCAGAGTCACACACAGAGTACAAAGTCAAAGTAGGCACTGCAGAAGGGAGGATCAAGTGCCTTCATTTTCAAAACAGGTCACCCCTGACAAAGACACCAGTGAAGCACAGTTCACCATAATAAAGACGAGGCTTTTCTGATTCATATTTGAAGGACTGAAGTTTTTGTCGGTCTGCACGAATGAGACTTAACTTTGTTTAAAATATTTCTTAGAAACTGCTTCACTGAAGTTGGCTTTTCCCTTTCAGTTGTTTTAAAAACGAGAATTATTTCAGCTAGCACATGCTGGGCACAATCAATTTCACAGGCAACTATTCTCTCCACACTGCCTATCCCAGCAAAGAGCAGGTTTAGATGGGGCTTTTGAATCTGTTTGTTTTACAGGACTAAATCAAGGGGTTTGTTTTGTTTTGTTTTGTCTTGCTTTTTTAAGCACCTTATGTGCCACAGAGCAAGCTCTGAAAAAACACATCTGCACAGTAAAATCGTTTTCCTGTCTGGCTGGGTTTTTATACCAATCTCAAGCAATGACTGTTTCTGTAGTGCAGGCTTGTTTTTTTTACACTTGTCTACTGTGTCTATTAAGATGTTAATAAGCAGTAAGCAGCGTGGAAAAAAAAACCCCAAGGCACACACCGGTACCGGAAACCACCAGGCAGAACAGAAATTATGTATAATAGAAGAAAACCTTCAAAGATTGGCCTTTGGCTTTTTGTTTGTTTCTGAGAGGCACTTATGAAAAAAGAGGTCCAGATTAAGAGGTCCAGGCACCAAAGAGGCACTGGTACCTCTCAAACTGACATGCAAAAGGTATCAAGATACTTTCCTGCAAGATGCACAGCCTGGCAGCTAGGCCATTGAAACAGGAATCGGAAATTTTCCTTTCAGGGCCAGGCTCTTACTGACTTGAGTAGTTAGTTGGTCCTGTGCAGAGATTTCCACTGCGTGCCTCAGCTTCTCCATCTGTTAAGGACAGCTCTAACACTTGACCTCTTTGCTGAAACGCTTTGAAATACATATACGGAAATCAATAAATAACACAGGAATCTTAATCGTTTCATGACAGATCCTTTAAAAAAATCAGACCCTTCTCCCCATGTTCCATAAAGAACTAGAAATATTTATAGGATTAAAAAAAATACTCTCTTTCTTTTTAAACACAATGTTTAGGAAGTAAAATTCAAGACGACAGTTCAATTTTGTTGCTAACCAGTTCTACATGTTTCACACGTTTCTACAGTGAATCCAGCGGTGCAGAAAAGGGTATATTTAAGCGCCTGTAAAACCAAATTTGCCAGTATTTGCACAACAGCATCCTAGCCCAGGCATTTTAGCTTTTAATTAAAACAGTGGAACACAACACTAGTTCTAAATTTCTTAGCCCTTACTTTTACTTATCAATCATTTTCAACTCCAGAGAATGAAAACTCAGAATTTGTTGTGCTTAGTGAAGGCAATCGGTTCCTCTTCTTACCACCTTCTCCCTCCATAGACTGTATAAAGTAAGGAAAGACCGACAGAAGGAATACTTTGCCAAAGAAAAGCCATCCTAATTCAGCAGGAATCGGGACAAACCAATTTATACTCCTGTTTCCAAATGAAACTACTCAAGAAGGGAAAAACGTTATTGACGACCACTTGTTCAAATCCTAACCTAAAACATGGGCAAGACAATTCCATAGCATAGCACGCTTATATAAAATGCATACAACTCTATATAACTCCAGCCCTACAGACCGCATTTCCTGTTAACTCTCCTGAGATAGTTATCTAGTACGCTTTTACCAATTTTTTGTTGTTGTTGGCAAGAACCGTTCTCAACGAGTACCTGGGGATATGCTAGGGAAAGCAGGCACCAAAAGGCAAGCGGGGAGCAGTTCTCTTCATTTCCTTTTGTCCTGCAAAGTCTTCTCCTTCGCTTCCCCCTTGCACCACTAAAACCAGCAGGTGGGCTTTCAGAGAGCTGCCTTTCCTGCACCATCCCTGCTACCAAATTCACTCATCGCTACAGAATAATTGTGGGAAGGCAATTCATCGGCAGTTGCAAAGCTATTTGAGATGGTAGGATACGGCGTGTTCTAAAAGTGAAAAGGACTGTTGTTCTGTCATACAAAGGAGTTTACAACCTATTCCTCATTCAGCTCTCCGTGCCCTAATAAAGTGAACAGCAGAACAGAATACGCAGGATTGTGCTAGACAGGGTGAGTGAGAAGGAACGAACAGAAGGCAACTGAGCAATTCTTGACAAAAATTTGAGGTCTCTGCTGTTAAGCACCACAGTCAGTATACACGAAAGTAAGGGCTGTGCTACACCATTTCTCAAATTCACACTGATAATTTTATAGGTCTGGTTACGTGGGACACCACGATAATCCACATCTGGCTTCACATCTTAAGGACAGTTAGTGGCAATGATGAGGTGTGTTGGTCTCTCCAGGACACATAAGCAGACGTATGTAGTTCCAGAGCATGAAGTAAAGAGTTTGCTGTAATCCCACACTGGGAATCCACAGGCACAGAGAGACCGCTTGAACTATGTGTGTGTCAAAGAAAGGTCAGTGTGACGCTTCGGACTGGTGCTTCTGTGTACGGTGGGTGCAGGCAGTGGGGAATAAAAGGTGCAACAATATTAAAAATATACCTTCGACATCCTTCGCCCTGCCTGAGACAGGCCATCACATGTCAGAAAATGAAGTGCTCAAAATTTAAAAAAATATTCATCCAAGCCATCTGCTTAAACACGGACCGTGCTACATTACTAGCAGCAGAGCTCCCAGTTGCTACTACACTAGAAGAAAGAGGAATCTTCTCCCTCTCTTCTTTCCACTCCTCGCTCCAAGTCACTGTAGCAATGCTCTACTGAGAATGAATATGCGCTAAACAGAAGACAGTTCACGATCATGTAAAAAAACCCCAAACAACCCCAAAACAGCTACAGCCAGTCTGGGAGAAAATGATGATGGTAATAATAAAAGGACACTGCTGCTAGACCCAAGGCAGATGGTGTGGTCAGTGCATCTAACAGCAAGCCCAGCCTGGTGGGGTTGTCTCTTTTATGTTAATATAATCCCCACTCCCGGCAGCAGAGGAACTTCCATCACCACTGGATGAGGACATCATCTTTTCAATCAGGACTCTAGAAGACAAGCATATGTGAGTTTGTTTTGGTTTTTTTAAATAAGTAACATTGGGCCACAAGGTTTTTCAGCAGTACAAAAAAGAAATAGCAATTCATTCTAGAAGGACACAAAACTCCAGAACTTTCATGACTCAACGCTCAGGTTAAGGAACCTCATAGCACTGACAACAGCATTACTGCTATTACCTGGCAGCATCAGAAGACTCTGCAGTGACCAGATAACTAACAACACCTACAGCAACCACCTCACCTCGGGTCCAGTTTAGGACTGGGACACAGCAACAAGCTTCCTAGGTACCAACCGCCCAACCTCAATATCAGGTGCGAATACCCAGTCTAATACCTTTCAGAAAAGGCCAAATTCTCCATCAAAGGATTGGTGCATTACAGGAGAATTTCTAATATCTTTGCACAAGAAGTCCCATCCTCCTGGTAGAGGCCAGCATATGAAAAAACATCCCTGGTATTGTTCAAAGAATTTCTGTTTCCAAAAGCATGTCAGAGCTTAACAAAGGAGAGAAAAAACTTCTGACCTTTCAGAATGCAGTTTCCCTTCGGGAGATTTACTTGCATGTTATTGCTGCTATTTGTTACTTACTGACAGCATCTCCCTTCACCTCAAAGATGGCTGTGTCTGAAAGAGGGAATTAACTCTTAGCTGTACCACCAGTCACTGTGCCTACCTCATGGACTCATTAATGTTCTTGTTTTCCTTGACAGATGTCTCCACCCAACCAGAAAAGCCGTTTTCTTTGCTGAACCGATCCACTTCATCTCTTGTCACTGCCCATGGGGAAAGGTCGCACTGTAAAACAGGAATCGGTCAGTTTAAGTTTAGCCTTTTAATTTTTAAGCTGGGAGGGGAATTCTCCCTCTCAGCCATTTTCTGCCTGTGTGCAGGCAGGCAGGCAGCAGGTAGGCTCAGCCCTTCGCATCTCCCAGATTGCAAGCTGATAGAGAGTTCTTCGGGCAAGGTTCTTAATGGGATGTTGCAAGCAGCAATATATCTATCTCATCTGAGATACTGACACACCTCAGTCAAGCACGCATGGAATGGAGGTTCATCCAGCACAGGACAAGAAAGCATTGTCACTCATCCAAAATCTGCCCGGCCTCTCAGCAGCAAGGAAATGTGCTACTGGTGCGGTGCCACCGCGGCGGCCACACTGATGCCAACGGGACGTACGAAGAGGCAGTGAGGAAACCTGTCCCGTAACAGCTTGCCGTAGTGTGACTGCAGTGCGTACAGTCGCACAGATTTCCCTAATGCAGGCGAAAATGTTACCTTAAAACAGCTATCGGGGGAAAGTGTTATTTGGGAAGAAGTGGAGAAGAAAAGCCACTCTCCTGCCCACCCATCATGTTTTTGAGTCGTCTCCAGTTTTAGGCTCTCTCAAACCAGGCAAGTCTCAAACTGAATCTGGAAAGGGATGCTGAGCCAACGTTGGCACGTGAAGAATGTAAAGGTAGTTTTTGAATGAAAGAAAAATAAATCATTAAAAGACAGCAACCAATCTACACAGTGAAACTTGACGCTGCATCCAAATGAAAACTAGACATCTCTCTGGCAGCTCTGAACCTTTAGCTGCAGCATCATACACAACCTTCCCAGGCTACTGCAAGTTAAAGGCCCAAAAAGAAAAAGAAAAGCTTTACAATCCAGCAGATACAGAGCTCGAGCTCCGACAGCACAGCACAAGGCACTGCCTCCTAGGGCAGAGCAGTTGTTAACTTCTCCTAAGTGCCATCCACGCATTAAGTCCTACCAGTGTCCTAGTTACAGAGGAGAATCCTTGCTAGAGAAAGAAAATTCAAGGAGAGTTAAGGGAAGGATTAAAAAGACCACAGGCTTAGGCGAGGCTTAGTGCCAACAGCGTCTCCTTCCATCTTGCACTCCCCTGCACACACGTGCACACATACAAACACACAGAGCGCGTCTAGGGCTGCTCACTTTGTTAGCCAGCAGTAGGCAAGGCACGGGGTTCCCATCTGGCAGCACGAGCTTGCTGTCCAAATCCTGCTTCCACTTCTGGCTGTTGCTGAACGTGCTGATGTTGGTGACATCAAACATGATAATGCAGGCTGACGCCTCCCTGTAGTACAGCCGGGTCATAGACGTGAAGCGTTCCTGCCCTTCAGGATCAAAAGGAAAAAAAACTTACCCCCCAGAGTTACCATTTTCAGATTCGTTCACGCAAATAACATGTTTATCACGGTACATCGTTTTCTAAGTTGACACTAACAATATCCACTTAAATAATGAGGAAATACAGGCACTGAGGTGCGTCCTGCCTGGGGTACCTCAGCAACGCAGTGACAGAACTGGAACAAACTGGGCAGCTCTTAATCCTGACCCAGAAATACTTGCACTCCTCCCAGAGTAACAATTTAAGTTTAGTGTCCCCGACCACACATCCACCTCCCCCTGAGCACAAAACCACCAGCAGCAGGGTACCCGGCCACCACCAGCCGTCCCCGCTCCGGCAGGACCGTGCCACCAGCACTGACATGTGCTGCTGCCTGCTGTGGGCACAGCGCTACAGACCAGGCTCTCCGGAGAGAAAAAAATCAATTACTAAACAGAGAGCATCACAACTCACATACGCTGTTATTACTGTTTACACCTTACGGCCTGCCTGTACTACCAAAACCGCATCCAGAGAGTAACTCTGCCATGCTGCTGCGTGGTTTGATTGTACTTGGGTAGACGGGGACACATCGCAGAGCGGTCACATCGCATCCCACAGGTCAGGGGCAGGGCAAAAACCAGCATTTCTGACACCGGAGAGATTTCACTATGGGCTCCCATGCAGCCCCGTAGCTGGTCAACAGGCTGTTTGCTCTGAAGCCGCTGAGAACCGAGCACTTGAGTTACCTCAAGCCATCCGACTGCCTTTGCACACCTCTGAGGTGGCAGGGACTGTCGGTGCGTGCGTCCCCTTCTGCTTGGGGCACGCCAAAAACACCGTGACCAGCGCGGCTCCTCTGCTTTCCAAATCTTAAACGCCTTTTTGGGGCTGAAACTGAAGTTAGTCTCTTGCTGCAATCCTCTTGCTGCAAACTTCTCCTTCCTGTTTTCTTTTTAAGGATTCCAGACACACATGTCTGAGCAGCGAAACCAGGGGAAACCACAACCCTGTTTTCGGCACCCTTCTAGAGCCAGAGGTGCCATTTTAGAGATGTTACTGCACTGACCTGTCCTCGGTCTTCTGGTGCTAGGGAGATTCGGGAACCACATTTCTCTGCGCCTCTCCAGGGAGTGGGTGCTCCTCGCTCCACTTCATCACATATAACGCTGAACCCCGGAGCGTGCCCCACTCCCAACCCAGCCCCACCACCTCGGGGGCACCCAACGGTCTCCTCTTGCCATGTCGGCTCCCGGGGGATCTGGTCACTGAGCAGCCAGATCGCAATCCTGATCCCAGCAGCCAGAGCAGTGCGAGGTCAGCAGAGCTGCTCCACACAAGGTTCAGGCGTTCCTGGCTATCATGCCAGAAATCAGGGTTTTAACAGAAGACTTGGAGCTGAGAAGTTACATATCCAGATAAAAATGAGCCTGTTTCTCCATTCACTCTGCTCTGGCTTTGAAATTGAAAAGAAAGGCTCAATAGGATTTATCATCTGCACTGCTGCATTCTTTGCAGATGGACTTTTGATTAAATATTTAAATTACTACTGCAAACTAGAGACAGCACTACAAACCAGAGCAGTCCTGCCCCTTGATTCGACAGGCTTTTAGGATTTATTTTTGTAGCAGACTCCTACTGAAAGAAAAAAAAAGGAGGAAAGGAGGAAAGGAGGAAAGGAGGAGGAAAGCCATTGAGAGCTTTAAATTCCGCTCCTGAGCAGCTTTATGTTCTTGTGAACATACCTGCAATGTCCCAGAGCTGAAGTCGTACCGTCTCTGATTCCGACCACTGGACCACTTTCAGAGCAAAATCCACTAGAGAATACCCAAAAAAGAAAGGAAACGTACTTAGGGGCATTCTGCACCGTAGGACTTGCTCCTCTGCAGCCTCTCACCATTTCCCAGTGCAGGCCAACCCAGCAAACACTTTCACATCCACGGCAGTTTGTCCTGGACCATCACCCACGCCAGCACAGACCACACACAGAGCAGGAGCGGCTGCAAGGGCTGACTCCTCTCTTCCATTGCAGAAAGCTGCAAAATAAGTGTTAAAACCAGAGGGCTCCACACACTCACTGCTCCACACCCTGCAGAGAGGATGACCACAGGCACACAAAATGCCTTCAGATAAGCAGAAGTCAAGCGAGTTATCAGCATCTCACCCCTCCCGGGGATGCTACGCTGGGCTTGTCCCTTCCAGAACTTCAGATTAGAGAGCTAAATAACACAACGAATGGAGCAGCATTTCTCCCTGTTTTGCAAAGCCCAGCCTGGCAGGTCTGCTGTCAAAGCCCTTGCAAACGGTGGCGGAGATACTGCTCTGAAACTCTGGGAAAGAAGAGAGCAAGGTGGAATATTTCCAGCACTGGGTGGATTCCACTACCCCAAATCACAGGGCTTTTAAAAATCCTGGACCACCAATGGTCTGTAACCATCCCATGCACAATGCCCCGCTTGTGGCAGGGAGCTCAGACACCCGTTCCTGATCTCTGGAGTTGTAACGCCGGCACTAGAGACACTAACCAAGAGCTAAGGAAGCAGAAATTAAAATGCTCAGGACTAAGAATTCCTCCAGCACATAACCCTGAACAACCACAGGCAGACGAAAGGATACTGGAAACCTTATTGCCCGGAGAGCTTTAAGGAAAGCTTCCCTTGCCTGACTAATGCCAGTAAAACGCTGGATTTGCTGCTGTTGTCTGTCTTTGCTCTGCGCTGCCTAAACCATTCAGTCGCTGGTATGTGGAGCTCTGTGTCTCCTTCACAGCCACCGCTTACCACCACCTACACCTCAGCTGTCACCAGCGCAGAGAGTCGAAAGGGGAAACACTGTGTTTTTCTCAGATTACGATGCATCAAGTTTTCACTGCAGGGGGAAAACTGTCCAGCTATGCTGTCAGCCATGCTCAACAGGGATAGAACTTATTGAAGCCAGGAACTAATTAAAAAAAATTAAAAAGAAAAAGAAAAACATCTGCAACTCTTACTGCTGGGAGTGACAGTGCGGGCACAGCCCAAGCACTCTGCCCCAGTGGGATGTGGTTCTCCAGTGTTTTCAACTTCTAATTCATCCCCTCTCCATTCACAAATAAGAAAATTCAAACAGCTGTGCTCGGCCCCCACTATTTTGGGTCCTCAGGGACATTTACTGGGTAAAGCCTCGGCACCTCCTGCTCCTTGGAGGTTATTCGTTTACACTGATGTTAAACAAAACTCAACCGATCCCACTCAATCTTGTTCCCAGCCTCCTTGTTACAAAGCTGTTGGTTCCCCCACCATCTTCCCAGAGCCCTGCCGATACTTCAGCACTGGTTTCACGCTGTTAAAAAAACACCAAAACAGCACTGCTGCTGTTTTTGCTAGAAAGAGCCGAGGCTGTAACCTCAAACTCTCCAGGTTAAACCTCCCGGGGGTGGTGGTTGTTCCCGGGGGGGGGGGGGGGTGGGGCCCCCCGAACCAGCCGTGAGGAGGGACTGGAGTCACTGGTTTGTCCCCGGGGTCTCACTGAACACGGGCTGCGAGCACACCCGGCGCCGCATCCCGGAGCTGCTACAGGAACCGCAAAATAAGAGTAACCACCGACGGGCGGTTGTTCCTTCTCCAAATTCTCGCCTCCCCGTCCGCAGGGAGGGAGAGGAGCGACTTTCCCACGACAGCCTGCGAGCCAGGGGTGCTTAAAGCTCACAACTGCCGTAGTTCCACCGGCGCTCTGAGCCCGAGGCTGCTCTTCAGCGGAGAAGACAAACCTGCGGCCCAGACCGCCCCGGCCAGCGCTTGGCTTTGCAAAACGGACGGCAGCCCCGCCGGCCCGCCGGTCCTGAGACCCACCGGGACCGGGACCCTCCGGGACCGGGTCCCAGCTCCCCCCTCGGAGCCCCTCTTACCTCCCACCGTGGACTTGTAGTGCCGGTTGAAGCTGTCGTTGGCGTACCGCTGCACCAGCGACGTCTTCCCCACCGTGGCGTCCCCCACCACCAGCACCTTGAACATACGATCGCGCTGCCCCATCCCGGCCCCGGCCCCGGCCCCGGTCCCGGTCATGTGAGGGTCAGGTGGAGGCAGCGGCGGAACCGCTGTCTGCCGGGGGGGCTGCCGGGACCTGTAGTCCG